CCGGCGCCGGGCACCTGTGGCCGCCGGCGGACCCCGGCCGGACCCGGGCTGAGGGAGACCTCTGCCACTGACCCCTGCTGACCGCACACTGGCGACCCCGCCGGGGACCGCCCCCTGGAGATGGTCCCGGGCCAGCCCCGAGCCCGGCACTGACTCGGCTTCGCCTACTCCCGCGTCCTGCACCCGAGGGCCCAGCGGGGCGATAACAACTTCTGCTGTTGGTCTCCGCACTGCACTGCCCCTTCTTTTGGGCCAGGGCAGTGTCAGCAGCCCTCAGAGCGCAGACCCTCCCGAGTGCCCGGAAAGGCCCCCGTCTGGCCCAGCGCCTCTCCAACTCTTGCTGGATGGAGGCGCCCCACGAAGGAGCCGGGTGAACGCCTTGGCCTTCACCTTCCAGCCCTTGCTGACCACACCTCCCCTGGTGCGGAGGCTGCCCTGAGGAGCAGGAAATGCTGTACCAGGTAAGGCCCAGCGGGTCCGGGAGCTGGGGAGCTGCGCAAGCCAGGAAGGGCGCTTAAGAGGTTTGGGGCTGGATTCTGAAAGCCTAGAAGGAGCCGGACTCATCCTGTCAGGAGGAGCAGAGGATGGATGTGGAGACACCTCTGCAGGGGCCCCAGGTGGACACGCAGGCGGCAAGGGGATCTCTCTCTAGCCCTCATGAATTCCAGGGCCAGAGCTGATTTCGTGGGTTGTGGTGCTTTGGAAACCTGCATTCCCAGACAGCTGAGGTGGCACCTGGACACACTTGCCCTGCACCCGATGGTCTGCTGGTAGTCTGGGAGGCTGGGCAGTAACCCCCAGAGTAGTCTGGGAGGCAAAGAACCAGGGAGGTGAACTGACTTGTCAGTGCGTTTAAGGAGGCAGAAGAAACGTGACATGGACAAGCCCCTTCAGTGTCGCCCAGTGACTCCAGCCCCCATTTCTGGTAAGGGTCTAGCCCCACAGTCATCACTCGGTGAGGAGCCTCTGCACAGCTGCCCCGGCCTCCTTGTTGCGTGGGCTAAATGTGGAGTCATAAGTGTGGCACCGTCTGTGTCCCGGCATGAGGGTCCAGGGAGCTGGCCTTGCTGTTCTCTTCCCAGTGGTGGCCTGTGGCAGCAGGGTGGAGCTGCCAGCATGGAGGACCCTAGGCAGGGGCAGGCTCTGGGCGATCGGCGCCTGGGGCTGGGGCTCACAGCACTCCCACCTATCTGGACAGCCTCCTTCCTTCCTCTCAGCACAGCTGGCTACTTAGGAGCTCTGTGTGACCACCAGGATGGACCTGGGGCCAGCGACGCAGACCTTCGTGCTGGAACTTCGCTGTCTTGAAGATGGAGGCCCAGGGCCTGATACCCTCTCAGGTGAGGGCTTGGGGAGGGGGGTAAGTTCCTAAGCCAGGAAATAGTATTCAGGTCCCCAGGGAGGCTCCTTTGACAGAGTCCCAGCCCAGGCACAGCAAAGAACGACCTGGAGGGTGGCCAGCAACAAGCTGTCTGGAAGGGTGCTCACCTGGCAATTTCTGGTGTAGAAGGCAGGCTGGGTCACTCGCAACAGCCAACTTCAGTAGCTCTGCTGCCCTCCCACCTGCCCCTGGCTTAGAACTTTCGAACAGGATGGCACTCTAGGGCTTAGGAGTTCAATGCCCCGCCCACCCTCATGCATTGGCCCTGGGGCTTTGCTTCCAAATGGTCTCTGAGTTTATCCACTTTTCTTCTTCTACCTCTGCTTCCATCCAGGAGCAAATATAGTCCTACAGAACATTCTAAAACACCCCCCTCTCTCTTTGGGACCCACACTATGTTGGGTCTCACTCATGAGAGCTGTGTTTCCCATCTGTGTTTTCAAGGTGCTGAGTCAGAGTGAAATAGAGTCAAACAGTCATGAAAAGGAGAAAGGAAAGTGGGGGCTGCCTGGGGACGTATGTAAACATTCACATATGTAAAAATTTCACTGGCAAACATTTTGTGAGGATATGTATCTTAGGTGACATGTAATGGTACATTTATTAAAACTTGTTAATAAGCTGAAATTGCTTCAGGAAGTCAGGAGTGGCCAGGTGGTAGAGCACGGCTAGAAATGAGAGGATGCTCACAGTGTGTGACATGTCCCTGCCACTCCAGAGGTGACTGGAGACAAGAGTGTGTCTGAGACCCGGGCTGTTTGGGGTACAGGTTTTCATAGCAACTGTTACCCACCACCCGAACACTCCCAGCTGGTGTGAGTGTGTAGGAAACATGTATTCACTGCTCCGTTAGCCTAAACAAAGGTTCTTAAAACTAGTTTCCTAAAGACAAATTATTTACATGCTGATATTTCTTGGTCTTATTAAGTCAAAATAATCCTGGGGAAGTGGCCCCAAAACAACATTTTATAAATCAGACTACTTCTTTCCATTACGAAATTGAAAGAATCATGCCACAGGAAAAACAGGTGTTGAAATCAGTCTTGGGAATTGAGAAAGCCTCTTAGGATCATTCACACACATAAAGAGTTAGAATGCAATAATAAACTTAGAGCGGGGTTCTGCATGTGGATAGCTTGTGAAAAGTGAAAGGCAGCAACGGAGTGACTCCTGTCTTGCATGGCTTACGCTATGCCTTGCCTGATGCAGGGACTGAACAGTGTTCACCCTTATTCTCCTGACATCCCTGAAAATAATTTATCTCCCTTTGCAGATGGGGAAACTAAAGTTAAATACTCTTGACTTGGGGCTACAAGCTAGTCCCTTCCATTCCAGAATACTCCAGAAATGTTTCCAGATTGTTTGAAATGAAGCCGATTGTATCCTTGGTATTTCCAAACCATTTGTTAGTTTGCCAGCTAATTCTGAACCTGCAGGGAGAGGGATTTTTCAAACATCTGCCAGGTCCTGGGGGATAGGGAGTGGCAGTGCCTTCCCTGTTTTAAACTTGCATTTTGGGTATCATTAAGTTGTTTCACAGACAGAGAGGGTTTCAAGGCTGCAGGAGATGGACAGTTGCTAGTTGGTAGAGTTAGAAGCCTTGCGTTCTCTGACACTTTGGTAGCTTTTAGAAACTGCTATGGAAATGCTTCCAGGTAGCTTTACAGAAAGTGTTCACTGTTTACAGAGAAGACTAGTTTCATTTATTTAAAGTATGCCCTGAGCTGAGGTCAGAGTGCAGCATGGGCTTGCAGCTTGGCCTTTGGAATGGCTGGTTCACTGATTCCTACTGGATGGTGGTTAAGTGCAGGGACTGATCAAGGAATATGTCAGGTGCCAAGATCCAAGCATGAGGTCTGTAGGTAGAAGAAGGCAGAGGAGCCATTGGAAACTGGGGTCCTGAGTGCCATGACTGGCAGTCCCCTTGGGCACATGTCTAAGCCAGCCCAACACCGCTTAGTGTTTCCATTTTCACCATGCTGCCATTGTTTCTGGAGTCAGTGCTTTGGGTCCCTGATGAGAGCTCAGTCGTGTACCCTACTGTGATTGCGTGTGGGACAGGGTAAGGGGGGTATGGATTAGAGAGCTGCCGGTAGATCTTTCTCTTCTGGTTCCTTGCCATTTCCAATACAGGTGGCAGTGGTGGGAATGAGAGTCAGGAGGAAGAAGAGACTCAAGAGAGGAGCAGTGGCCCACCACAGCCAGCAATCTCAACCCTGGTAGGGGCCAGTATTATTACCAAGGAAGCACAGCTGGGACAGCAGGAGTTGCAACTTCAGGAACAGGAGCCAGAGCTGAGCCTACAGCCACAGCAGGAGCAGCTGCAACAGCAGCAGCCACAACACCAGCTAGTAGAACATCACCCAGAATTGCTGCAACAGCAAGATGGACAAGAGCAGCATCTTCCACAGCAGCAGGAGCTACAGGAAAATCAGCACCTCCTACAACATCTGCAGTCGAAATCGCACCTGCAGCTGATGCAACAGCAGGAACAGTTACAACCACAGCAGCAGAAACTATTGCGGCCAGAGCAATTAGAGCAGAAACAGCAGCAGCTGCTGCAGCAGGAACAGACACAGAAGCAGCAGGAACAGTTATTGCAGCAGCAGCTGCAGCAGGAACAGCTACAGCAGGAACAGTTGCAGCAGCAACAGCTACAGCAAGGACAGTTACAACAGCAGCAGCTACAGCAGGAACAGTTGCAGCAAGAACAGCAGCTACAGCAGGCACAGTTACAGCAGCAACAACAGCAGCAAGAACAGCTACAGCAGCATCAGAAGACTCAGTCACAACAGCAGCAACAGGAACAGTTGCAGCAACTGTTGCATCAACAGCAGCAAGAACAATTACAGCATCAGCAACTATTGCAACAGCAGCAAGAACAGTTACAGCAGCAGCTGTTGCAGCAGCAACAGTTACAGCAACAGCAGCTACTGCAGCAGCAGC